TTTGTCAATACTAAGAGCTGCTATTGTGCTGCTGTAATGGAATATGTATGCAAGAAGAATAAGAACATACCATGTGGTCCAGCTGGAGTCTCATCTGCCTCCTGATCCCTGCCTCTGTCCCTCTTTCTGACACTTCATCTTCATTCCTCACATACATTTCTTCTTCTTCACTAATGTCTTCATCTCCTCCTCTTCTTCCTGCTCTGACCCTCCTGGTCTCTTCAGTGAACTCTCTTTTCCTTTTCCTCTTTCTGTTCATCCTGATCACTTCTCAGATATGTCTTTTTGTTGTTGAATCACTCCAGCTACTCTGGCCTGCAAGAGTCTACTTGTGAAAAGCACTGGTACAAATGCTTGTATAACTTTACACGTTAGGGCCATGTAGCTAATAAGTAGCATATAATAAATATAACATCAGAAAGTATTTATAAAACGCACACAGGCAGCTGTGTTCAGACCCAGTTTGACGGTAAAGGATGTATCCTGGTTTAATTTATCTGGCCTCATTGCTGTGATGTGTAATTTACGTGGATTTAATAGTACCGCATAGTTTAGCAAATAAAGTGATCTAGCGCTGTCTGTGTAGTATTTTGTACGTGACGCCCCAAACAGCGACCGTCTGTTAAATGCTATCGATTCAAACGGCAGCGTTTTATTAGGGCCCGAGCACGGAGCGCTAGGACCCAACGGCGTCCTAGCACGAAGTGCGAGGAACCTATTGTTTTCCTACGTATTCTTATTATTTTTCTGCTGGCGTTTCCTGTTTTTGAGGGCAACTTCAAAAGTTGTATAATTTTGCACGGATTCCAGAATCGGTGAAAACTACAATATTCTGGAGTCAATGAGTTCAAATTGTCCAACATGCTCTCTAGCGCCACCTATGGCCATTTCCATTTTTGTAAAGATGTACAAAGTCGCACCGTAACTCCAAATGACCTGAAATTTTGCACACTTATTCGGGTGGACCTGCTTTAAATATATATATCTCATTTTTTTAATTAGCATAATTTCAAAAACAGTTAAATATTCACTTAAATTTCAATTTTTTGTTTTTCAACACCAAACTTAGTATACAGCATCGTTGGAGGGTCAGACACATTACCGTAGAAAATGAGCATGTTAACACGATAAATATTGCCGCCATGAATCAAAACGTACGGGCTTAGATAGAAATGCTCATAACTCATCAACAATGTATCCAAAAAACACACATTTTGGTGGTAAGGTTTATTCTGTATTGGGGAATAGGCACAAAAAGTAATTTTCTTTTTGGACTATAGGGGTGCCAAAAACATGACAAATGTATAACTCAAGAACTGATGGACGAAATAATTTTTTTATTTTTTAGACATACTCTGGGGGTGAGTATGAACTTATATTTAAAGTGTTGACAAATGTGGGCGTGGCCTGTACTTTTTATTTTATGACGATGTGCTAAAATGTGCTTCGGAACGCAAAACTTGGGACACACGTCAAAGCCCACAACCTTTTCGAGAATGTAAAAATAAACGTAATTTTTCAAAAAAACTGCTCACTAGCGCCCCCTATTGTGTGGTAGTCACATATAGTTTCTCAGAACTTCACCAATTTTGGCACATACATTCCTCATGGAATTGCGGACATATTACTAATTTGCTTCCATTAGCCCCGCCCTCGAGAAAGTCGGCCATTTTCAAAAATGTGCGTTTTTCATGCAATTTAAGCACATTCTTGCGAACTCCTAGAGGAATGATCGGAGAAATTCCAGTCCAGGACAAGTTCAGTCCCTATCCAATATGATACTTAATTGCGGAGCACATCTTTGAAAAATCACTCGTGGAGGTCGTAAGCTAACAGCGAAAACTCAATTTTTTTACCATTTACATGTCGCAAATTACTCCAAACTACTCGGATATAGTTTTGCCGATATTCACGAAACGCTGTATCCACATTGCTATTATGATTGCACACATATTTTAAATTGCTTTTGATTAGCCCCGCCCCCCAGAAAGTTGGCTATTTCGAAAAATGTGCGTTTTTCATGCATTTTAAGCACATTTTTGCTAATTCGTCATAGGGAAATGATCGAAAAAATTCCAATCCAGGACAATTTAAGCGAATATCCAAAGTGATGCCAAGGAATAGTCGATCGCTTGAACATGGAGCTCGTAAGCTAATGGAGAATGTACAATTTTTGACCAATTATATGTCAGATAAGCTACCGAGACCTGCCTATCTGCCTGGCACATCAACTCTCACACAGACACACAAACAGACACACAAACACACACACACACACACAACCATACCTACACATTGTACAAGAAACACAAACAGCTCCTAAAGCATATAATAAATATCAGGCTACAGCCCTTGTATATTTTATTATGTGAAGCACTACAGTATATGGTTTCATGAAAAATATCTACTGTTTATTTGTAGATATCTCCTAAAGCCTACAAATAAAGTGTGAAATGTAGGCCTGTTACATATATTATTGAGCGATATATATTATACACACTGTTCTGCTTTCTGCACTGACCTCAGCAGCTGTTCTCACTGTAAACATCGCGTCACAATGAAAGCAGTTGTATTAAACAAATAAATAGCCTAACATCCAGGGGAGATGTGATTAGTGAGTAAACAAACGGTAAAGGGCAGAAAGTCTGATGCACATTTGATCATCTTAAATAACTTATAATCACAACGGGAACAGTTTGCAGAGCTATGCTTCGTTGACATAACTCCAGCCATGCGTCACGCCTCTTTTAAACATCACTGTTGGCTGAAATCCACTCCGGAGAATACATCAGTGTACCCTCGGTTATAGCTCCTCCAGAGAGACTCCTCTCTCCTCTCTCCTCTAAATCAGTGTATCCTCGGTTACGGCTCCTCCAGACAGCCTCCTCGATAATCGATCCTCGGCGAGCTTTTAGAGAAATTTGTTTTCCTTCGACACGTCGCGCCGACATCCGTTTCCGGGTCGCTGCCGGAGGACCTGGGAGTCTGGGACGCGAAAATTATAGAACTGACAAACGGCTCATTTCTGAGGACTCACGCACGTCTGCTAGACGCCGGGACGACCGGCTGCCCTCCCCGACAGGCGCACGGACGCGAGGGCCCGCTCATCACTGCGCGCACTTCTGCGACCGCAGTTTTAATTAATATTTAGTTTCAAGCTCTCGTCTTTAGTAAAAACAAAACTAGTGGAAGGGGAAATGCTCCCAGGGGAAGCTGATCCACCTTCAGGTGCTGGGACAGCTCGCTCCCTCTCTGCAGCGGTGTGAGCCGCGGTCTGTGAACGCCGCTCCGCAGTTTAATGCAGGGCCGTAGCTACGTTTTTAACGGGCCTAAGATGATATTTAAAATGATTCACTTTTAATTAATGAACTGCTTGTTTCATTGCTTGAGAAGCTTGTGGACATAGTGTAGGTTTGTTTCTACAAGTACAGTTTTATGGACACAAAAGTTAGGGGGGCAGCTGGGGGGGCAAGGCTCTACAGTGGGGGGGCAGCTGCCCACCCTTGCCCCCCCGTAGATCCGCCCCTGTCCTAAGGTATCTAAGGCCCTAGCCACACGGTGACGAAACGGGTCGTATCCGCTACAGTTCTCTATCTTGTAGACGGTTCGGCCACATGAGGCCGACAGGGAAACGCGGATAACGATAACGGGTCCCAAGGTGGGTAGATCTGCGGACGCAACCCTCTGGGGGGCCAAACGGCTCCGTGATTACGCCCTATACGATCATTTCCTGATAACGAAGATACTGACGGGCTGTCAGGAGAGGGGGAGGAAAAGAGAGGCTCCGTGTATTATTCTTATATTATTATATAGAGTCGTTATTCTTTTGTTTTAAAGCTAAATAAATAACAAAGAAGACCTTTGACCGGCATTTTTATAATTTTGTCGGGAAGATTTAAACTTTAACGGACATGTTGACCGGCGGAAACTCAGCCGCACGGTTCCCTCGTCCATTGGAATAGGTGGAGAGGTGGGTGTTTTTCATCTGCTGGTGGACTACCGGGGAGATTTACATCAGGAGCACACGCTTGCCTCGGGGAGGGAGAAAAAGAGAAACAGCCAGAGCCCTGCCTCTCCCCACCTCTGCTGCTAAATCCACCGCGGAGAATAAACAGAAGGGCAACCATGGCAACCATGCTCGGGAAGTCTTCTTCGTTGCTTTTGGTGTATTTTGTGGTGGAAGTACAGCGCCACTTACAGGCCCGGCATATGTACTACAGCGTCTCCAGCGGGTCAAGCGGTCTCGTGTGGAAGGACACGTTTCTGGTGCCTATTGCGTGTGGATGGAAGACTTTTTTGATATCGAATTCGGTTCGTTTTCGTTTCCGTGTAGGGCCTAAGGGTCTTGTTCTCGAGTGAGAAAACCGTTGTGACGAAGCCTGAAGGCCAAGCTCTCAGTCTACCAGTCCATTTTCGTTCCTGCCCTCACCTTTGGTCGTGAAGAATGGGTCATGAGCGAGAGAACAAGATTGTGGATACAAGTGGGCGAAATGCCTTTCTAGACTCTACCCCTACATGGCCAAACGGAGATAGTTCTTGCAACTAGTAACTAAGAATGTATTTTTCTAGGCCCTGTTACCTCCAACAACCATGTTCTCAAGTTTAAAAATGTTTACAAAGTCTCAGTTTCGCACACTTAAGAACAAAACAACATATTATCCAAGTAAAAGCATTCTGAGTGTCTGGATATACTGGGTCTGGTTTATAGCGTGCAGGAGGTACATTATAATATATAACTACCCTGATGTCAGCTTGATCCCTTGAGGTTACATCACCCACAATATGACTACAGAACTTCTCTTTAAAAGTTGAGTCAGAGGTTGTAGTCTTCTGTCAGAAGAAGGGTTGCTGTTTGGTGACTACAGGCAAGGGGAAATAAATTAAAGGTCATATAATGCTTTTAAGTTTCTCCCGGATTTACATTTGAAATGGTCTGACTTGTATTGAATAGATCTAATAACTATTGTGACTTATCAGTATCCCCCTTTTTTGTGTTTTCTTTCTTCAAGTTGATGGAAAACTACACTTTCAACAGCTTCACCCTCCAGCTGGAGGGGTTAAAAGTCACAGAAACGTCAATGTACCCTGTATTTTTCTTTTTCTTTTTTTTATACGTTATTATTATATTGGTGAATATTGGCATTGTAATTCTGATTTTCATTGACAAAAACCTTCAGCACACCATGTATCTACTTTTCTGTAACCTGCCCTTCAATGATATTCTTGGAAACTCTATCATGGTTCCTCGTTTGCTCATAGATATACTGAGGCCTCCCTCTGTGCGCCTTATCAGTTATCCAGAGTGTGTGGTGCAAGCATTTTCCACACATATGTATGGTACCACTGCTCACACAGTGCTCATGATTATGGCTTTTGACAGATATGTGGCAATCTGTTATCCTCTGCGCTATGCTGCTATAATGACAAACAAGATGGTGATTAAGCTGACAGTTTCTGCCTGGGGAGTAGCCTTGGTTTTGGTCGGGATTCTGCTCGGTCTGACAATACGCCTGAACCGATGTGGGACTTTGATCACAAATCCTTTTTGTGACAATGCCTCTCTGTTCAAACTGTCCTGTGAGAGTGTGTTCATTAATAATGTCTATGGCCTCACGTTCACTGTAGTGCTCTTGACATCTTCAATCGGCAGTATTGTTATCACCTATAGTAAGATTACAGTTGTCTGTCTGATGAATAAAAACAAGTCTTTGAACAGTAAAGCCCTGAAGACCTGCGGCACTCATCTTTCTGTATATCTAATTATGTTACTGAGTGGAATGCTTGTTATCCTCCTGCATCGCTTCCCTCAGTACTCAGACTACAGAAAACTTGCTGCCATTTTATTCCATATCATCCCCGGCAGCCTGAACCCTATTATTTATGGCATTCAGTCGAAAGAGATACGAAAATTCCTGTCACAATTATTTCAGCATAAGGTTTTGCCATCATTTTAATTCCAATACAAATGAACAGAACCAAACTAAATATAAATGCATTTATATAAGAAGCAGTGTGCTTGTCTGTGTTTGTTTTTAAGCATATACATTGGCCACACCTAACTTAACGTTATTGTGATAAAATGAATAGTTAATCAAACTGTGTTTAATATTTAGTTTACTTGTAGAAAACAATGAAACTATAATTTGTGATTTTTCTCTTTTTATTTGAGTAATGCTTTAACTTATGGTCATTTTTGAACATATAATATACTTTATCAAGTAGTTGGTAATTATTACGAAATGATGTGTTAACCTCATGGAATTGTATTTTAAACATCTATAACAATATTTGGATGGCTTTTATAAAGATGCAACTTGTAATGGTTATAATATCGTAAATGGTTAATTATATTCGCTAAAACATCAAGACTGACCAAACATTATTAATTGTTAATAAATAGTTTCTGGTCCACCAATGTATGTTATGTTAAATTATGTTTTAGAAATTATTTGGTACTAATACTTAATATTGTATACAAAAATGTGTACTGTGACAGCTGCTCACATTTGTGATAACCTATTATCAGGTATGATAAAATACAATTTGTGTTTCATATTACACAAACTAATGATGAAAAAACATGAATTATGAATAATATGTAAATGGTATATATTGTCATTCATCAAGAAATAATGATTATCGATTCAAGTAATTTACTATCAATTCAACATTTTAAATAATGGTTATTTTAAATGGTCACGCCTGTTATGCTTCTGTAATCTGTTTTTCTATTTGTTTAGAAGCAAAATAATTAAAAAAAAATGTGTGCTTTTATACAATTATTTGTTTGTTGTTTGTAATTATTACAATGGTGAACTTTGCTGCATTATTTTGTTCTGAATCTCTGTTCATGGTACGTCTTTTCCTGCTACTGGTCATTGTCAAAAAATACTGGTTGTGATGAAGTTATGTAGAACTTAATCCGTAACCAACAGAAGACAATCCATAAATATTTTCCTTTCTACTAAACGTGTATTTTTTACATTTGTTTTGTGTGACGCCATTTCCACAAATTGGAGTTGGGGTTAGATTGGTTTGTTGAGGCAGGGGCCCTTGTTATTAATCATCATTGTGATTCCCAGGCCGAACCACCCCCTCGTTCATATTAGCTTCAAATATAACAATGGTGTTGTAACCACCATAAGGAGCAATAATAACGTAAGGAAATATGAATAGTCTTTTTAATATTTACATTAAATTGGAATTCGTATACATCTTTTAAACTTACAATATTCACAGAAGTTTAAAACAAATATCCAAACCTTTACATGACTTTTCAAAGTACAATTTAATTACTATTTCCTTGCATTCTAGCAGCAGGAAAGTGAAAGCTACTACATAGGCACTACATTTGTACATTTGCAACTTTATAATAGCCATCCAAATCACCTTTAGAGGCAGTTTAGAAATCAATAACTAACTTATTATCATGAGAACAGATTGTTTCAAACCTGTTGTCCACTTATGTGTCTAATTGTTGATATAAAAACAATTCTGAAGGTTATTTTGGATGGCGATCATATATTCAAAATGAATTGTTATAATAAATTGTTAAACAGTTAGTTGCTTATACATCCATGAACATTATTAAGACTGAGTCTTTGGTAAAAGGTTATTATACATATTAAAGCATCCAAAAACTTTTTTTATTTGAAAGTTAATACTTTGTAAATGTTTATAAAGTTACAGATTTTATTTCCATCCATCCAATTAGTTTGATAGATATCTACGAATCATTTGGCAAACATTGACAACTACTTGATATAGTATATAAACTTGAAGCAGTGCACAACAAAAAACCTTTCAAGACATTTAGAGAACATTACAAAGGTTAATTACTTCTTATCATTAGGTTAATAAATATAGTTTCATTAACTTTTTTTTTCAATAAATTGAGGGGTGATGTAAATATTCTTTTATCATTTGAGTACTAATTTAACCGATCCAATAATATGCATAAAAAACTAACAAATACAGGCATATTTCTGCTTATGTATATATTATGTAATCATTTGAATTAACATTACAACGATGGCAACACTCTTTTATACAGAAACATTTGTGAGAGAAATGTTCGTATCTCTTTCGACTGAACCCCATAAATAACAGGGTCCAGGCTGCCAGGGATGATATGGAATAAAATGGCAGCAAGTTTTCTGTAGTCTGAGTACTGAGGGAAGCGATATCATAATTAGATATACAGAAAGATGAGTGCTGCAGGTTTTCAGGGCTTTACTGTTCAAAGACTTGTTTTTATTCATCAGACAGACCACAGTAATCTAAAGGCCGCTACACACCCACCTGAGACCAAAGAACGCGTACCGAAGGCGTCCCGACTTTTACGTCAGCTTCGTCGCCTGCGTCGGCTGCGTCGGCTACGCCGCCCGCCTACGAACACACCGCAAATACTTCAGTCGACGAGTGGCAATAACTGTCCTTACCAGCAGGCAGCGGTAGAGTGTATTCGTCATTCAAAAGAGGCAACAGCCGGAAGACAGACTGCCTTTTATACACCAAGAGAAGAAGAACAGACTGAGTGATATAAACAAACAAACACAGCGTCTGGTTTCCCTTTTCACTCTCTCTCGTCGATCGAAAACATGTATCGTACGGTACTGGCGTTATCAGCAATTGGATTGTTGCTTGCGGCTGCAGAGAATAAGAAGCGGAAGCGAAAAATCAGGAGAAACCGCACTAAATGGGTGAGAACATGGATACTACAGCAAGAAGCTCAGGGGGCTTTCCCGAACCTGTGTCGAGAGCTGGAGTTAAATGAAATCTCAGAGGGATGATCTATGCCAATATTTTAGCGGTGTCGGTGCAGTGCCTTTTCAGTGGGATAAGATATAGCAAATATGTCTAAAGAACTGTACAATGTCAACAATCAACTACAATACGATAAAAATAGTGTGTAATACAATAAAAAAAAGAGTTTGCCAAATATGTCTAATGCTGTGTTATCAATGGCTGTAGTATCAAGGTACGAAATAAAGTTTTGTATTGCCTATCCTGCTATTTGTGTTTATTCTTTTAATCACACAGCGTTAATAAATACAAAAAAATGTGCCTACATAACTGCCAGTAGCAGCCGCACATTATTATTGGTTTAACTACTAACAGTATATTTTTATACATTTTAAAATGACCATCTTGAACAGCTACAACGTTAAAATACTTCTAGGCAGATTCTGGAGGATAATGGGAGAAAGAATAGAGGGGCAGACAGAAACACTATCTGAATAATGGTCCGGACTTTCCCGACGCCTCCCGCGGCCGATTCAACATGTTGAATCGGCCGCGGGAGGCGTCCGGAGGTGTGAAAAGGTGCCGTAAAGAGACGACGGTGCGGGACACACAAACCTGAGTAGGGCGCCGCGAATGCCCGACTGCCTCTGACGGCCTCTGATGGCCTCTGACTCCCAAAATCGGACTGGTGTGTCCGGGCCTTTACTGTAGGTGATAACCATGCAGCCGATTGAAACTGTGAATAGAACTACAGTGAACGTGAGGCCATAGACATTATTAATGAACACACTCTCACAGGATAGTTTGAACAGGGAGGCATTGTCACAAAAAGGATTTGTGATCATAGTCCTACATTGGTTCAGTCGTATGGTCAGACCGAGCAGAATCCCGACCAAAACCAAGGCCACTCCCCAGGAAGAAACTGTCAGCTTGATCACCATCTTGTTGGTCATTATGGCTGAACAGCGCAGGGGATTGCAGATTGCCACATATCTGTCAAAAGCCATAATTATCAGCACTGTGTGAGAGGTGGTACCAAACATATGTGTGGAAAATGCTTGCACCACACACTCTGGATAACTGATGATGCGTTCAGAGGGAGCCGGAAATATCATTAAAAGGCAGGTTGCAAAAAAGTAGATACATGGGCTGGTGAAGGTTTTTGTCAATGAAAATCGGAATTACAATGCCAATGTTAACCAACATAATAAACAGGTAAGAAAAAAAGAAAAAGAAAAATAGATGGTACATTGACGTTTCCGTGACTTTTAAATAGTTTTCCATCAACCTGAAGAATGAAACACAAATGAAGGGGATGCTGATATGTCACAGAAGTAAGAAAAAGATCTTACCAGAAAAATATATGTTTCCTAAAATGTAAACCACAATTACATTTAAAATAATTCAATATTACCTTCAATTTCTCTTTCTGTGCCTGAAGTAACCACACAGTCTTCTGACCGACTTCAACCTCTGTCTCAACTTTTAAAAAGATGTACTGTAGTCATAGCGTGGGTGACGTAATAGTGGGTCATCAAGCAGGTAACGATTGGCTACCTATCTTGTGAGAATTCTTCTGATCTGATGTTTGAGTTCATCAAAGAAAACAGCTCAACCTATGACCCTTGCACTCCACTGCCCCAAAGACTTGTGACCCATTGTTGGTCCCTGAGGTAACATGTTTTTTTTAAGAACTCCCTATTTGCTCATTCCAAGAACTATCTCCATTTGGCCGTCTACAGGTTATGTCGGTCATGTTGGGGACTTACCTTAGTGGCAGCTCGCACAGGGCACTCTCTTGGTTGTACAAAAGTATAGAACAATCTCCTTTGCACACGGTGTATTTATTCAAAGTTAAGTGTATTTCATTTTGCATGAGAAACAAACAACATAACACTTCCCACAATATTAAAGATGTGACAGTATCTATTGGAACAATTTATGTTTTTCTTACTTTTACGTTTTGGGATTTAAAATGTTTTGTTCATAAATCTTGGCTGATAACAATCACATTCTGATCACATAAACTATCCCATAAAAGTGTATTAGTACACACATTAAAACGTTTATACTATATTAAGAATCTATAAATATGACATAGATGGAGAAACAGATTATTGAGCATTAACAAGTATTATCTATCCGTCTACATTATGTTTATCGATGCATTAGCAAGTATTTATTAACAATTTAACGAGGTAATATAAGC